CGTGCGCTCCGCGATGACGTCCCTGCGATCCTCTGCTCCGATGCGATAGGGCCTGGCATTGCAAGGGTTTAGGGTTTAGGGTTTAGGGTTTAGGGTTTAGGGTTTAGGGTTTAGGGTTTAGGGTTTAGGGTTTAGGGTTTAGGGCCAATATAGGGTCTAGGGTTTAGGGTTCCAAAACCCTTGATTAAGGAATATCCCTTAAAATACAATAGGATCCCTAACTTGATTTAAGGTATGTTCCTTGATTAAGGGGTTCTGGAGTCCTGGGCGTTGCAAGCCATTGCCGGCTTAAACGGGGTATTTAGGGTTTTAGGGTTTAGGGTTTAGGGTTAAGGCTAAGGGGTGTTTAGGGTTGGGGGATTTGGGTTTGGGGCTGAGGGGTGTTTAGGTTTAGGGTTTAGGAATAAGGGTGTAGGGTTTAGGGTGAAGGGTCTCGGGTAGGGTTTAGGGTTTAGGGTTTAGGGTTTAGGGTTTAGGGTTTAGGGTTTAGGGTTTAGGGTTTAGGGTTTAGGGTTTAGGGTTTAGGGTTTCGGGTTTAGGGTTTAGGGTTGAGGGTTGAGGGTTTAGGGTTTAGGGTTGAGGGTTTAGGGTTTAGGGTTATGGGAGTGCTGGATTTTGGTTCCGGGCGTTTTAGGGCTTTAGGGTTCAGCGTAGGGTGCAACCTTAGCTCTGAACCAGGGTAGTTATAGGATTGGGGTTTAGGGTTTAGGGTTTAGGGTTTTGGGTTTTGGGTTTAGGGTTCACTGTTTACATTCCTACGTTCCTGACCCTGGAAGCCATTTGCGCGGGCATCACATGGCGGCGACACGCGAAGTGGGAGAGAGGCTTGAGTCCTGACACGCCCGGGGGCGCGGTGTTGAGGATTATGGTGTCTTAGGAATTCGGGATGCCGTGGCTTGGGAGTATTGGTTCTGTGCTTTGTCTTTGAGGTTGCGGGTTCGGTATTGGCTTGAGCACGAGAGCTTTGGGAAACCTAAGCCATAATACCTAGAGCCGAGATTTCAACAGAGCAGGCTCAACCCTGTCCAATTCCCAAAGTACTATTGGCTTGTAGGTTGTAGGGAAAGGGAAATTTTGTTAAACAACAAAAACAAGTATGGACATGTTGTAGTGGCAACCAAGTAGCACCAGTATCAATCGCATTTTTGATAGCCAAAGCAATATTGGCAAATACCAGCATTGAAAGCGCTAACAACCATAACAAAACCTTCTACGAACGATAAGAAGCAAGCGCTAAAAAAAGAAAAAAAAGAGCACACACATCATCATCGTAACCCTCTCAACCCTAAACCCTAAACACCCCTAAACCCTCAACCCTCAGCCCTAAACCCTCAACCCTAAACTCTATGTAAACCCTAACCCCTGAGCCCTAAATCCTGGCCCTATAAATCCTAAACCCTAAACCCTAAATGGGGTCTTGAGCATGATCTTAAAATGTGGACCCCTCAGATACCCCTTATATGCCCTATAAAACCCGGGGTGAGGGCTACCTCAGAACAATTCAAAGAAGGTAAGGGACCATGTTGAGGGCCCCTGAACTACACTTAGAGTCCTCCCACCACATAAACCCTAAACTCTAAACCCTAAACTCTGAACCCTAAACTCTAAACCCTAAACTCTGGAGCATGAACCCTAAACCCTAAACCCTAAACCCCAAACCCTAAACCCGAAAGCCGCAACCACATCAGCCACAGGGGGCCTATCAGCTTCTCTGCGCCCGCAGCAAAGAGCTGCGAATCCAGGCTTGAAACCTGGGCATGCTAGGGCTTGGGGTTTAGGGTTTAGGGTTTAGGGTATGCTGTGATAGGGCGTAGATGCTGTGAAGGTTAGGTTTCGGAACAAGCTCGAAAGCTTCGTGAGGTGCGATGAGCAGCTTTGGCCCGATTGTGGAGGGCCATCTAACACTCTTCTCCCACCCCACGCCGTCCAAGGCGGCAAAGCCATCCAAACCTAGTCCTTTCAGGGTTTAGGCCTTCACTCAGACAACAGTCCACTTCTAAAAACTTATTCAGTTTCATGATGTTCGTTGGGTCCGACACGCTGCGGCGAAGGGTCCGGGGCCTCCTGAGCTGGCCTGGAAAGGTCAGCGACCTCCAGGGTCATGGGGTTTAAGCGCCGCCCGCCAACGTAGGGAGGCGGCCTAGGCCCTGAGTTTAGGGGGCTGGCCTTATAACCCTAAACCCTAAACCCTAGCTTGGGGTGTACGGTTTGGGGTGTAGGGTTTAGGGCTGGAGGGTTGGAGGGTTGGAACTCTCTTCAGCCTTCAGGGTTCAACCAGGGAAAAGAAGAGCTTAAAGAACTGGGGGCATGGTCTTTGGGTTTAGGGTTTAGGGTTTCGGGTTTGGAGGTTAGGTAGGGTTTAGGGTTTAGGGTTTAGGGTTTAGGGTTTAGGGTTTAGGGTTTAGGGTTTAGGGTTTCGGGTTTAGGGTTTCGGGTTTAGGGTTGTTTAGGGTTTATTAGGGTTTAGGGTTTATTAGGGTTTAAGGTTTAGGGTTTAGGGTTTAGGGTTCAGGGTGTAGGGTGTAGGGACTCCCCACATGCCTTAAGGGTATGTCCTTAAGCTACCAGCAACAGCCTCCCCAATAAAACCAGGAGCCAGAACTACCGCAGCATCTAAACCAAACCCCCCCCCCGCCAAAAACGAAAAGGCAAAGACAACAACAATGCAAAACAAACCTACAAACTCAACCCCCCCCCCAAAAAAAAAAAAAACTATAAATCCTCGAAACCCCCCCCCAAAAAAAAAACCATTAAGCCCTAGAAACCGCTACGAACCCTATAAACCGCTACGAACCCTATCAACCCGATAAACCTCGTAAATAACCAAACAAAATCTATGAACCCTACTTCGTTGCTGAGTTCATAAGCCCCAAAAAGTGTACACTTTCAGTTCTATAGGAGATTATCGCATCCCAAAAGGTGCAGAGTATGCTCACTCAGCTGCTAAGTCTTACTTAAACCCTAAACCCTAAACCCTAACCCTAAACCCTAAACCCTAAACCCTAAACCCTAAACCCTCTGAAGCCCTTCCACGCATGCCCGGGCCGCTGGCATCCCCGTAGCGCACGGCGAGCAGCCACTGACCCCGACTCGCTTGGATGGCCGGCCTGTTTTAAGGGTTTAGGGTTTGGGGTTTAGGATTTGGGGTCTAGGGTTTAGGGTTGGGGTTTAGGGGTTTGGGGTTCAGGGTTTCGGGTTCAGGGGTTTAGGGTGGGTTTCGGGTTTAGGGTATGGTTAGGTCTTGGGGTTTAGAGTTTTAGGGTTTGGGGTTTGGGGTGTAGGGGTTTAGGGGATTAGGGCTTTAGGGCTTTAGGGGTTTAGGGGTTTAGGGTTTGGGGTTTGGGGTTTAGGCTTTTAGGGTTTAGGGTTTTCGAGTTTTAGTGTTTTGGGGTTTGGGGTTTAGGGTTTTGGGACTTGGGGCTTTGGGTTCTGGGTTGGGGGTTTAGGGTTTAGGGTGCTTGGGGTTTAGGGGTTTAGGGGTTTTGGGGTTTCGGGGTTTCGGGGTTTAGGGGCTTAGGGCTTTGGGGGTTTAGGGGTTTAGGGGGGTTTCGGGGTTTAGGGGCTTAGGGCTTTGGGTTCTGGGTTGGGGGTTTAGGGTTTAGGGTGCTTGGGGTTTAGGGTTTGGGGATTTGGGGTTTAGGGTGCTTAGGGTTTAGGGGTTGAGGGGTTTAGGGGTTTCGGGGTTTAGGGGTTTAGGGGTTTAGGGGTTTCGGGGTTTGGGGGTTTAGGGGTTTAGGGGTTTAGGGGTTTTGGGGCTTTGGGGATTTGGGGTTTTAGTGTATGGGGTTTGTGGTTTAGGGTATGGGCTGTGGGGTTTAGGGGTTTTAGGATTTAGGGTTTGGGGTTTAAAGTTTAGGGTTTTAGGGTTTAAAGTGTGAGGCTTAGGGGTTTAGGTTTTAGGGCTTAGGGCTACCTACTTCTTCGGGCTCTCAAGTGTAGAAATGGTATTCATTTGGGGCTGTTGTGGTTTAGGCTTTCGGCTGATGTCTTGCAAGGCTTTCAACCCTGAATACTTTCAACCGGTGGAGTCTTAGGTATATCAAGGGAGCCATGCTCGGACCCCTGAGGATGTACCCCTAAGGGGTTTCCCTTTCTATACTCCTTGAATGGCCCTTCTATTCCCCTTAGATTTAGATTACAGGGTTTAGGGTTTAGGGTTTAGGGTTTAGGGTTCAGGGTTTAGGGTTTAGGGGGGTTTAGGGTTTAGGGACCTTGAGATGCTCTAAACCCTAAACCCTAAACCCTAAGCCCTAAACCCTAAACCGTACCCTAAACCCTAAACCCTAAACCCTGAGCCCGGCCCTAAACCCTAAACCCTAAACGGACTGCCTGGACCGCAGAGGACTGTAGGGTTTTAAGGCTTTAGGGTTCGGGTTCAGCCCCCCCCCCCCCCCCCCCCCCCAAGTGCCTTGATGTCTAACATGAAGGTCGACCCAACCCCAACGCCAAACCCAACCCCAAGTCCCGAAACCCGAGCGCTCCAGGGGGGTGGGAGCAGGTCCCAGGAGGGTCTTAAGGAGCAGCTGATTCCTGCTGTATAGGATTTGTGGTTTAGGGTCTAGGATAGCCCCTAAAACCCTTTGAAAAAATATTCCTAAATATGATCCTCTTAAACCCGACAAGGGGAAATATAGAATATACCAAGGGCCTACCTAGGGTCTCCGTATTGTGGGCTTCTAAGGTTTAAGGGCCTAGGGCTCTGAATACAGCGTTTTGGAGCCTAAGTTTTCAAGGTTTCAGGTTAGAGTTTCGCTGTGTCGGGCTTCATGGCGTTTAGGGCTTGGGGCTTAGTGCTTACGATTTTTGTATGTGTTTTTTTTGTCTTTTCTTTTCTTTTTTGGGGGGGTTCAGGATGAAGGGCCATGCTTCTACCCGCCAATGCGCGATGTTGTTTTTTCAGCCCATGGTCAATGGTTCTTCAACCCATGGTCAATGGTGGCAGAATTAGCTGGTGAAACAGCGGTCAATGGCCTCCGCACCATCGACCCTGCGCTCGTCCGCTACTCTTCCCCGCTGCTGGTGGCGCTGCTTGCAGTAGTGCCACCCATGGTCGGTGACAAACCTTTGATCATGCTCAGAAACCTCGACTGCACACGTGGGGGGGGGGGGACCCTCGGAGGGTAGGATTTCTGCAGAAGGAAACTGCAGAAGGGACAACGTGAGTAATATTAGCAGACATCACGCAAAGTTTACGCCCCGAGTATATCAACAACACCCTAACCCCTCAACCCTCAACCCCTTAAAACACAAGTGTGCCAAAAGCTGTCGGACGACGCAGGGTCCTCTTCATCTGATTCATCTTGCAAACGGGCTGCGGTTTGCATGAACCTTGGGTTTAGGGTTGAGGGTTACCTTAGCACAAAATCCTACAGATGATCCTCTTAAACCCCCCCCAAAAAAAAACGGTTTGGGGTTTAGGGATAAGGGCCTGGGGTTTAGGATGACCCGTAAACCCTAAGCCCTAAGCCGGAAATTGAGGATCCTTATAGGGAAATCCCAGGAAACGCGTGCATCTCGTCGCTGTTGAACATGAGCATCTCCTAGGTTGAGCCCACGTGCGGAAACTTGGCATTCGGAGTTGCCATCATAAGGATGTAGGGTTGAGGGTTTAGGCTTTAGGGACACCACGAGTTGCATGCCGTGTTTTGGGGTAACCCGCAAGCCTAAGTCTTAAACAGCACAGCCCAGTACCACAACCGGCGGTTGTTTCTATGTAACCTGCCCAATAAACAACATAAATAGGTTCCCTTTGTAGCATTGCATTTATGAACCCTAAAAACTAAACCTAATAGCTCCTCAACCCTATACCCAGACCCCTGGGAGGATCCAAAAAGGAGATCCCCCCGCAAGGGTTCCTTAAAGTAACCCAAGGGCAGTATAGGGTACTATTTAAGGGTACCCTAAACCCTAAACCCTAAACCCTAAACCCTAAACCTTAAACCCTAAACCCTAGCAACTTAACAGCAACCCAGCCGCCAGCTTCTCACAGTGACCATGCTGCGCCCGCCAGAGGGCATCGACCAGATAAACCCCAAAGACGTCGTTGCCTTGGTAAATTCGTACTAGGGTTTAGGGTTTAGGGTTTAGGGTTTAGGGTTTAGGGTTTAGGGTTTAGGGTTAGGGTTAGGAGGGGGGGGGGGGGGGGGGGGGGGAGTTGAGGGATTCGGGCATAGGGTTTAGGGTGCATGGGACCCCTTTGGGGGTTAGGGTGCATGCAAGGTATCTTAATCCCCCCCCAAACAACTCCTGAGACCTGGTGAAGCTGCTCTGGTAGAACATGCTGTACCATGGGCGCTTGAAGTCGATCCCCGCAAAACGCTCAGTTTTCCAGTGGTGGATCGGCGTCTCAGGGATCAGCATCATCTTAGCCTTACGAGCTCTTCTCGCGGGAGGGAAGAAACTATCTTGCAACATCCTGAATCCTTAACTTGGGATGTTGCCCCTTTTTACTAGCAGCCCTTATTGGGGATTATAGTCGCCCCTATTTCAATCCCTAGTAGGGACTGTTATGTTAGTACAAGGGGAAACATCCCAATCCTTAGTCCTTGAAGCGACCCCGAAAGGAGCCCTACTTCCCTCCTCCACCCTAAACCCTTAAGCCTAAGCCCTAAACCCTAGACCCTAAAAAGCAGTGGCTAGGATGGCCCCCCCAAAAACCCTCTGAGAACCAATATTCCTGTATATGATTCTCTTAACACAAGAAGGGGAAATTTGCAACATCCAAGAGCCTCATTACCCAGAACCCTAGAACCCTAGAACCCTAGCCTAAAACCCTGGAACCCTAGAACCCTAGAACCCTAGAACCCTAGAACCCTAGAACCCTAGAACCCTAGAACCCTAGAACCCTAGAACCCTCGAAACCTAGAACCCTAAACCCTCAACCCTAAAAGGTAGGTAGCCGGATAAGCCACCAGGATCATCTGAACGATGGTCTGGATGCTGCCCATCCCATGGCCGGCCTGGAAGAGCCAGCATGGAGGTGGGGGGGCTCAGGGTTCAGGGCTTGGGGTGTACGAGGAGGGTTTACAGGGTCTACGGGGTTTATGGGGATTGCGGGGTTTATGGGGTGTATGGTTTAGGGTTTGAGGTTTTGCGCGGCATTCTTAAATATATGGGATCCTAAACCAGCCCGGCCTTGACTGAAGGTTTCAGGGCTGCGGCAACCCTAAACCCTAAACCCTAAAAAAGTGGACCCAGTAGTCTAGACCCAAGAGTAACCTATTATCAACAAGAGTAGGTACCCTTTTTGGCTCCAAGGGGCTTATAAGGGAACTTAACCCCCTTAAAACGAGGAACAAGGGCCTACTCTAGGTCCTAGTAATAGGGCGCTATCCCATAAACCCTAAATCTGGAGACGCAAGGCCGGCTAAAAAGATCAGAGACCTTGCTGCTGTACAGGTACTCCGCCGCCCAACCCCCCCCCCCATCCCAAAAAACAGAGAGATACAGATACATATAGACACAAATTAAGTACTCCTTCCTGAATGAGTTAATGAACAT